TTATTTACTTGTCACCAACCTTACTTCCCAAGTGAAATTGCTCAAGCATGTATCCACCATTCTGTTTCAAAGCATTCTGGATTTTACCATTTCACTTACTGTTCTTACAGTCATTTGATTCCTGTCCCAACAGGAGCTTGTAGTTATCAGAGCCACAAACCTCAGCAAGACCCTGGTTATAAGAGTTAGCTGTGGGGACATGCAGGCCTGCCCACTGGTCTAGTGTGGCCCTCCATTGCCTCTGAACCATTAGGTAACTATTCCAACTTTACCCTTGAAAGTGGGAAAATGTCTGCCCCAGAGGGCCATCAAGGGGGCTAAATGAGATAAGGTGCAAGGGGCATTTACTTAGGGGTTTTGTATATAGCAAAGTTTCCGTAAATGTTAGTTATGGGATCTTTTATGAATGCATATAGTATGCCACATCTGCTTTATGAAATCCTAGGTTCTCAGAGGTACTTTAAATTACATCCACTTTTTTGATGTTGCATGTTAATTAGTAAAAACAGTAGTTTTCCTTACATTGAGAATTTTCCTTATGAATGGTATCAAGAACACACTTGTCTCTTTCAGAATGCTTATGGAATCATGGGATTTGTTTACTCCATATCTGTTGGAGAGATGTAGAGACAAGGAGCACTAAAATAAAACACTGGGCAAGGACCCAAAATAAAAAAAGAATTCAAAGCAAATACAGACTGAGAGGAGGAATTTAGTATAATGGGTGGGTAAGCATAACTTACTTGGTTTTACACTGAGTTTGGTGCCAGATCCAAAGTAAAGTACATTGTAATTATACACAGTGTTTAGCACTCTCACAAAAAGTCCTCTTCCTCAAAGGGAGGCTAGATATGAAAATGTGACTAACCAAGTTATGGGAAGACCAGAACAAAGCCCACCAGTTCTTTGCTGTTCTATGGAGAAGTCAAGGAAGAGCAGTGAGGACACATTCATTATCAAAGACAGGCAAGATAAGGGCAACTGATTTTCTTCAGTATTCATCGATTTCTTCTCTCTAGTTTTCTGCTTGGCTTCTCTCCTATGTCCTCTGTGCTCTATGCACACAATATTTGGAGCCTGATGCTGTGAGCATACTCCTTGCCTTTCTAATCATCAGTGAAAATTCCCCTCAGGTGGACTTGACTGGGAGGAAAATCTAAACTAAAGGCAGTCTTTAATTCCAGGGCTAGCCGAAGCCTCTCTTTTAGCTCCAGATCTGGATCTGAATTGTTCTTGGCAATTGGCCTTGAGCTTCTCTTTAGGACATTCTGAGCCATGCAAGCTAGCTGGGGGATTCTGCACTTGCGGCCCTACCAAGACCACACGATCCTGTCCGACAGAATACCTTCTTTATACAATCAACTCTGTCTTGACATCCATACTGACAGTCCCCTTCTACCTCCATGGAAGAAACGAGACATTTCAGAACATTTCATTTTTTTTTTTTTTTTTTTTTTTTGCTTTCTGCTTGTGGATTCCCTTCAGGAAAACAGAAACAAAGAAAAAAGAGTCTGCTATGTTGGCTGTCATTTGCAAGTCTAGATGAAACATTATTTATGGGCAAAATATTTTGCTGACAATTTCAAGAGAAAGGAAACCTCAGTGCCAACAGTTGCACACCCACGCTGTTTGAATTTAGACGGATCTTAACAAACGAACACAGTTAGGAGAAATAAAGTAGAGGTGACTTCAGCCTAAGCCAACTAATTATACTACTTAGGCAACTTTGAAGTGCAAGGGGCTTGCTTGCTCTGACTTGTAAAAGTGATAAGCAGGGTGTTACAGGAATGCTTTGCTGGTAGGGCACCGAGGACTACAGAAAACAGAGCTTAATTTAAATATCTTAAACAGGCACCCTTGTGTTAAAGGACTTGTGTAGCATAAGCTGGAATTTCTAAGCTAGAAATGTAGCTGCCTAACTTGGTGAAGTTTTTTAAGACTGGGTAATGCCATCTTGTAGCATTTGGTTTGGTTCTAGTGGAAATACAGTGAGCATTGGTGCTCCCCTTACAGTCTGCAGGCATGGTACAGCAAATCTCCTGGGACCCCCTGGCTTCTGCTCCACTCACTTCTGTGGAATACTGGTCAAGCTTCTCTTTCTACGTGGTCTTTGGTGACTGACTCTCTTCCATTTTACCCTTCCCAGTATACATGGCTGGTGGCTTTCTCATTTCCACCCCCAGGCTCTCAAAAGAGTTTATACACAGTTGTTTCCTGATCAGTTAGTATAAATAGGAGTTAACTGTAGTGACCTACCAGGTAAAACTGTCAGTTGGGTTCCAGATCCAAAGGTGAGTTGCCAGCCTCCACTAGAAGATGCACTGTGATTTGCCCAAACACGAAAACCTCAGCAGAGAGGTCAGAGTACAGTGTAGAGTTGGAAGCTCCTTCCAAAAAGGTCTGCATCCTTCAATCTAGGCTGTCTTGGAGTAACCAAATCACTAATCTACACACTCTAAATGAGTCCTTCTTTGTCTTTCTAATTATGGCATTAGAAATTCCATAGGAATTAGATCCCATTAGGGGAATCTTTGATTTCCTTTTTTTTTTTTTTTTCTTCAACCACAGAGTTCTGAGCATCAAATATGTGTCTCTAAACTCTATACAGTAAATGCTCTTTGATTTTTAGATGTCAAACCAGCATGCAGATTTTCCCATTTAAAGAAACTCAGAGTTAGAACAGAGAAAATCTCTACTGTGGGCACCAATAAGATATGCTTCCAGAAAACTGCCCCAATTCTCACATCCTAAGCCTGAGCTTGTAGAAACTTAATGCGGTGGGCATGGAACTGGCATCAAGTTAATTTGGTTCCTACTTTCATAATGAAATAATTTTGTTAGGACCAAATTACAAGAAAATTGCTAGTTTTCAATTTCAATTTTAGGCATTTTATTTCTCATTCTCATATGTGTGTTGATTTTTATCCGCCAATGGTCTTTAAAACTTCAACAAAAGTCACTTTTGATCTTTCCTAAGGTAGTAAGAATAGCATGCAAGGATCATGCCCAGGAAGGGTCAGGTTGTGCTTTGGATCGAAGGCGGAAACAAGGGAACCCATGTGTAGCAGCGGGTTCTGTGAGGCCATCGTCACAGTAGTTCTGATTCCTGCTGGATCCCTGGCATTAACATGAACCTGACATGGGGTAGGGCACAAAGTCATCTATCAGATGGGTCCTGTGGATGTCTTAGAATTTAGGTCCTAGACTTAAGGTCCAGTCCCAATTCAATCAGAGAATGGCTGTGTCTGGACGATCGGCGCCTTCTCTGGGCTCAATTTTCTTAATGGTGACAGTCCGAAAGAATGATTTCAGAGTCTCTGCTCAGTGGGTCTATACCATATGGACTTTTGGCCTAATGTTCCAGACGTGAGAAGTGCCCTTCAGTACTCACAAATACTTTTCAGACCTTGACAGAGACTCATCCCTTACTTTGGTCAGTGATAATTATTTACAAAAGATTCATTCTAAACAAGGATGTAACCTCAAACTGAACAGCACCTCAGAGAGCTCATTAAGAATTAGAAATCTTGTCACTGATTACTGCACAAATCCAGGGCTACGATCCCAGCCAAAGCCCAAGGCAATCCGTCATGTATCCTTAGTCCCAACACACACATATTCTGGAAGCAATTCCCAGAGACATTCCTCCACGGCTCACTTTGCACGGAACTGCCAGACCCTAACCAAGGAGATTCCTGGCCTCCTCTTTGACACTCATTCTCCCTCTGTAGGCATTCTTTGTATACTGTATAATTGAGTCAAAATCAGCCCTTAATCCACAGACATTGCTTAATCCAAGGATATAATTTTATACTTACTGGGCTTGATAGATAACTTGGTTCCCTGTCCAAAGATAAGCTTTCCTCCCTGGTTATAATTCACACTGTGTTACATACCCTGTCAAAAACACGTCCAATCTGCCCGAACACATGTCTAATCCTCCACCCCCAAATCCGAAGCCGATTGCTCCCACGCCACAGCATGAATCATGGCAACATTTCTTACTGTAACTTTTTCTTATGAGGGAGAGTAAGAATATTCTCACACAGGAGTCTGATAGGCAATAATGAGAAATCTTATTTATCCAAAAATGTTTCCAGTGAATGCCAAAATGGTGTCTCATTTTTGCTTAATGGCTCTGGATACTGTTGTTTGGGGGAAAGGACTTCCTTCCCAATGTGTTTCTCAAAGGTTTACTTAGAAAAGAATGACACACAAAGGTTAAGTTGAAGGGACGCCAAGGCTTCATGGAGTGGGGCTTACCTGGGGTGACTATAACCTGGGTCCCTGTTCCAAACTGCAGTTTCCCCAAACCGGTAGTTGTCACACTGTGACAAACACTTCTACAAAATGGCTTCCCCAGAGAAGACAGCTGCTAAATGAAGACAAACTGCTCATAGGGAAACAATCTTGCTAGAAAACGAGGAACTGCATGATGTGAGGGACGAGCATTTTCCTCTTCTCTTTTAATTCCTCTTTTCTCGAGACATTGAGGCACACTCTCTGAGCAGTGCAGCCAGAGAGAGGCATTGTGGGGTTAATAAAGCCTGCACTACTTCGAGACTGTGCCATGATGGGAACCCTCACTTCTCAGAGCTTATCTGATCCCAAACCCCTTCCTTGGTGCCGCTGGAGTGCAGCCACAGCGGGTCTCAACTCTTTGAAAGAGCCTGTGGTTTGGATTCTGGAGTCCAGTGGAAAACCTGTATCAGTGCCAATTACTGAACTCAGTTTTTAAATCGAGCAAGTGGGGTTGACTATGCTGGAGTCTACTACCCAGCAAGACTCTGGCAGCGTGGACAGACCCCAGGGCTGGAGTCCTTGTGCGATTCTTCCCCCTTCCACCCTTGTCTCCTCCACAGACGAAGAAGGTGACAAGATATTGGGCCTTTGTCTGTCCATGTACTTTTGATTCAAGGAGGCCCCCTGCCCCTGGGAAATAGATTGCCCTTTTGGAGATAATCTCACTCAGCGCATAATTCAAATTCTTTGCCACTTACTTGGCTTCATGAGCAGCCTTGTCCCTGTCCCAAAGGCAGAGGAGACATTTTGTCCTGCACAGTACTTGTCTCAGCATCAAAACCCAGCTCAGGTCTCCCCACCCTCCACCCTGGCCCCACGAAGCACCCCAGAGAAGGGAACACTATTGCAATTCCTCCAGTGTTAGTCATCTCCAATAAGTAAACTCTCCTTCTCTGTCCTTCAGCCCTTCCAGAAATCAAAGGGGATCTCGGGCCTCAGGTCCCTCCAGCTCACCTCCACATCAGCCCTGTATTCACTGTGTCTTCTCATTAGGCATACTTACAGGGAAGCACAGATAATCTGGTGCCAAGACCGAAGGTGAATCCCTTGCCATAGTTATTTCCACAGTGCTTCTGGGCTCAGCAAAAACTCACTAGCACTTCCTCTCTGCACCCCAGGGCATCTCAACACTACAAATGACTCAGGACCTGGAACCTGCAGCTCTGGCTTTAGAATAAAAAAGCTATCCCATTTGTCTGTTGAGTCTTGAGAACAAAGGGAGTGTGGGGACCAAGCAAGCAATGGTTCTAAAACCTAGCCCAGTAAGCCATGTATGCATCCTGAAGGCTGGAGCTCTGCATTAATCAGTCTTGTATTTTCACAGAGAGAGGCTCTGGAGGCTGCAGAAAGTTTAAAGAGGTTCTCTCATTCCTCCAAGTGCCCGAGGCAGGGCTGCACTTCACTCACCCCTGATAGGAGGTGTCTATCTCCTCTCAAAAATCCTCTAGAGAAAGCACTCTGGAAATGACTCCTGACAGCTCATTTTCACTGTTCAAAAACCTATTAAGAAGGTTTTGCCACTAACGTTACTCCCTTCTTGCAGTATCAGCTGCATCTTATGCTCTGTGTCCTGGCCAGGCTGGAGAGCAACACCCCTCAGTCTTTTCTAATACATATTTCCCAGACTTAGAAATGGGACTGTACCCACCTTGCCCTCACCAGCTTTCCCCTGAAATAAACAGTCCTCATTGATATCCGCGGACTATGCTGAGCTCTAGGCTGGAGAGCTTTGTCAGAGGCAAAAAGAGTTTCAGAAACCAAATTTCTAACGAGCATCACCACCCAGAAGAGAAGGACAATTTGGGACAGGTCACCCCTCCTCTAAAGTCTCCCCTGTTTTTTTTTTTTTTTTTTTGTCATGTGGAAGCCCCCTTTGGGAAGGAGGCTCCAGGTATCTTGGAGGAAGTTGTGCTGGGGTCAGGTAGGTGGGTCACGCAGCTCTGTGGAAACCTCGCCGCTGCCTCTGACACTGTGATGGTTTTTACTGAAGTGAGTCAGGGCTCTTTCTATTTTCAGTTTCAAATCCCAGGTGAAGAATTTCAGAGAACAGGCTGACACTTCTCCACCCTCCCTTCTATTCCATCTCTGCTCCTGATGCGTGACAGAGCCTTGACAGAAGAGCCCAAAGGGTGAAGCAAAAGCTCTACCATGCATCAGAGATGACGTATGTCATTATTATTAATGGCCGGGGTTTAATGATAGCTCCCTGCGTTTCTGGGCACTATGCTAAGTATGTGAGCTGTATTATTTCATTTGATCTTCACAATAACTCATCGGGGTAGATATATTCTTATCTTCATATCATGGATGGAAAAGCTGAAGCTCAGAGAGATTAAGTAACTCACCCCAGATTACTCAGCTGGTTAAGGAGTAGAACACAAATTTGAATTCAGACTTTTTTTTTTTGTCTCCAGAGCTCATGCTATACTACTGGCCAGCCCATCATTGCTTCAGTTAAAATGCCCAGAGGGGCCATAGAACATTTCACAGGAGTCTCAGAATTGCACTGAACCTCGTGTTACATGGAAGATACATATTTTTCTTAATGCAGATGTACAGAGTCCTCCTGGTTCTTTTCAGTTATTTAAATTGTAGCAGGGGATCAGAATTAAATGGGAGAAAGTACTTTCTGTCATCGAGGGTTGCTAGATTTTGGAAATGATTACAGACAGAAGCCTGAGGACTTTTCTGCTCTTAACCATTAGACAGAGCCAAAGTGCATCCCACATGCCCAGGGAGCTTGCCAGGAAGTCTAGTCGAAAGTGGTGGGGTACTGGATTCCCTAGAGGGCCTCCTAATGTCCTCAGTGGCTTAAATATTGTTTATATCTTTATTCCCTCCCTCTCCCCCACTCCTACCTCATTTTAAAGCAGGGAAGAGAAACAGCTCTTTTTTGGCCCGAGGAAAGAACATTAATAAAGAACCCAAGCAGATGCATAAGATTAAAGTATTTTTCAAACTAATGATTTGATTGATTTCCCCTAAAGGCCCCGGCTAAGAAAGAGGCAACTTACTCGGCTTCACTGTGAGCATGGTCCCATCCCCAAAGGTTAATTTGCCTGCATTGGTGTTACACAGTGCTCCCTGCTTTTGCAATAACCTTGACTGGGGCCTCTAAGAAGACAGGTGGAGGTGGGGGAGGCAGGCAGGAAAACAAAACCTGAAATGACTGCCCATGGCCAAAACAATCTCCTTGTAATTAGGTTAGAGTGTGGGAGGAATACTGATAACCAGCCACTTCCCGACTCCATCCTATTTGCCATAATTTTCCTTGAAAGAAAGAGTCTTCGAGAGAACTCCTCCTGGGAAATTCGCAGAGTGGCTACTGCCTGTCTCTTGGGGCTGAGTCTTGTTACTCCCACAAGCCTTCTGTCTGTTTCCATCCAGTTCTTGCCTCTCAGCCTCCTTGCTTTCCCTACACCTTCCCCCTCCTGGTGGTTCACATATTTTCTCAGGGAGCGACTACATGGATATTAAAAGCCCAAGTACAATGCCTCAGGGAACATGCACATTAATAACCTTGTTTTCCAACTGGTATCCCAAACCACACAACACAAACCAAGCAACGAAAACACCACCTGTGTTTTGACAGCCTCCGCTTGATGGAGGGTGGGCTTCTTTCAGAAAATAATTAGCTCGCAAGAGGGACTTACTTGGTATGAATGAGAGTTTGGTGCCTTTCCCAAAAGTGAGCTGGTTACTCCCAGTGCCGGGTAGACACAGAATTTCCTTTCTTTGCAAAAACCCCACAGATGCTGAGAGACTCAAACTCCACAGCATAGGAACCCAGAGAAGAAACTGAGACCGAAGGAAAGGGCCATGGTCAATATTGTTTTTGTCCTTACTTGAATTATTTACAATAAGAACATTTTCTGTATTACTTAAGAAAACTAAAATGTGTTACTAATTAAACATTAAATAGAAATCTACAACGGATTTAAAAGTCACCCCTTGGCCCCTGACAATCCTTTCTGTACTTCTCCAGGTTAAGGGGCCTCAGGTTCTCTGTCCAAGGCTTTGGACTCCTGGGGCCAGGGGAGAGGACTCCCCTGGGATGTGTGTGTGGTCAGGGGAAGCAAGGGGTGTGAGACACAGCTCAGAGTAGGGTCCTGTGCTTGCCCACAGCCCTCTGACTGGAGTTTGATTTACAGTAGTATGACTGATGCATCTTTCTGCTTAACCCTAGTGACTTAGCTCCCACCAGATGTGACCTCTCTCTCATGGTTGAACAGAGGACCTCATGTATGCTATATGTACACCTGATCTACACCCCCAACCCCTAACAGACCTTTGTTGGCGACAAAGGCATTCCTAGGAGCACTGAAGAATCACCAGAGGCCAGAAGCCATTGTTGATGAAGGCTAGCTAGAGCTGGCTAGATACTTTCAGCCACAGAAAGTCTTGCTTCCTTTCCGAAGACAAGCTCCCCACTTCCTGGATTCCCACGGTGACCATCTTCCTACTCACCCCCACCCCTCACCCCAAGTGCCTGGCCCAGTATTTTTCTTGGGCCTTTCTTCTTGTTAATAATTTTTTCCTGGTAGAATCATCCAGAAATCTCCCTATTTAACCATAGCTGTTATTTTCCTTTGAGTCCTTATCTCTAACCCTTATAAATGACAGTCTAATAAAAACATGTCTGGCTTTGCTGTCTACCCTGACCATAGTTTCCATAGGCAGAGCTGTGATCCAGGAAGGCTTTTCTGAGCTCCCTGAGAATGTCCAGCCCATTGTTAGCCTGAGAAAAACATCCCAAAGGAAATCCCTGGTTCTGGCCTTATGATGAGCACTTCGCTGTGTCTGAATGTATCACAGACATGAAAAGAAGGGGCCATGTCTCTCCAAAAAGAAACATGTGAAAGTTGTGCAGAGTGAAAAGACTCCATGTGTGCTTTTACCCTTGGCCAGCAGCTCATCTCTGTTGTATCAAATGGCTCTTAAAGAAGTTGTGACTGCCCAATCCTGGAGCAAGGGACATGAGGAAGCATGGGGGCAGAGCCAGGATACCAGCAAAGGCCAAACACAGAAAGTAGACCTTTTATAAACGACGGGGGAGAGACTGTGGGAGTCAATAAAAACAAAACAAAACAGTGATTATTTTTAGTTGGAGCCAAAAATCATATTTCATGTACAGTCAGCTGGGGACAAGGGGGGGTAGGGTGGAGTGGGGTGGGGAGACTTGAAAATGGGTTCTGGACAAAGTTTCTTGATTTTCCTTTGACTCCTCACACTAGGTAAACAATGAAAAAGATCTTTGTGTTAGGCGGAAGAGTAAGAGCAATTTCTTCTGCGGTAGAGGTAGAGGATGTGGTATTTGGCTGACCTATGGAGTGCCCTGGACCCGAGGGCTGCCCCCCCCCCATGTCTCAAGAGTGTAAGAAACTTTCCCACGCAACATTCATCACACCTTCAGCTCAGTGGGAGAGAATGTCAGAACATTAGAAAACGGAGCAGCACTTACGAGGGAGAACATGAAGCTGGGTCCCTTTTCCAAAGGCCAGTTTGTAAGCGTTTGAGTCACACTGTGATTGGGACCATACCCAAAACTTCTAGTGACAGTTTTTGGAAAAGCTATATATTCCTTGATGGATATTTCACCTTCATGGGACTTAGCAGATGCCACATTGCTTCTTTTGCTGTAATAAACAGCCCTCATCTATTTGGCCATCCATCTGTGTATCCTTGTTATTTTGCCTGAATTTTATGCTGCTTATTGACCTCGTTTGACACCAAGAGTGAATTATAAAAGCAGCAACTCAACAAACTCCTTTAGGATATCAGACACAATTCTGTTATTGCAGGCAAAAGATGTCTGGCAGGCAGCCACCA